CAGCTGGACCTAACAGCCATCAGCACAAAGAAAAAACATTTATCATCTTAAGATACCAACTACATTGTAAACACCTCCTGGAATAAACCAAGCTACCTCCCAAGGAAGACACTAAATGCAGGAGGCCTAAAAAAAAAAAAAAATACAGCCGACATGGCAGGAGGGCTGTCCTGCCTGTGTCTTATAACTCAAAAAGTAAGAGCGATAACGAAGAACTCGCCCCGGGCCGAGGTGTCTGAGAACATCGGAGCCCCAGAGGGGCAGCAAGATCTCCTGAAATAACACGTTTCCTGTGATGGAGCCGCACGTAACTACTCGGTTGGAGGCACAGCTGCACAAATGTAAGGCTTTACACTGAGCTGGCACTCAGCCGACCGAACGCAATCAACCAACTAAAGTCATTCCGCGAAAGTCATTCTCGCCTCGACACTAAGCTTATGCATTTTCAAGAGGTCGTAAAGCTCAGCAATCACACTTTAAACATATAGACGTAAATAAACCTACGATTGCTTAAAAAACAAATCAATCAATAAACCATGCACGGCAACATGGATTTTCAAGCGAGGCAAGCTGCCCACTCCAGCAAGCTCGCCGACTTACCTCGGAACTTCTTGGGCGGATTGTTGAGGTCCCCGGCTTCCGGCTGTACGACGCACCGATCGTCCACCAGCCTGCAAGGATGACAGGGGTCAGTGCTATGTCGAGACAAGTCTGAGAAAATAAAACCCTGAGCGCTCCGCCGAAACCAAATACCTAGGGCCATTCCTGGGCGAAACCGGGACTGCCACACTGTCCCACTGGGGTGCTGTCCGCAGGAGGGTTTCCTGGGCAGGAACCCAAACCTCGTCCAGCAGCCCACGTCTGCTTCCGCCACGGCCACCTGAAGCTGCCGCCTTCAGTGGCTCCTTCCCCCAGGCCCATCCACGATGGACTTGGGCACAGCAGGCGATAATGCTGGGCCCACTGTGTGCCAGACCCTGGAATCTGAGGATGAGGAAGAGCTAGGCCCCCGTCCTCAGGGACTTCAAGGCTACAGCAGGAGCCCCGCGAGCAAACCGGCCAGGAGAAGGTGCCCTGAGGGCTGAGAGAAGGAAGAACAGAACACAGCCAGGAACGGACTGTGCCTGAGGCCCTCGGAGAAGCTGCTGGCAGGAGGTCGTTCTGGAACCACAGGAAGCTGAAGGACATGGGAGCAGGAGCCGCAAACGCAAATGCAGGGAAAGAACCTCAGGGCTTCGAAAGGACGAGAGGGGAAGGTGCAAAACACCGGAGAGGACCAGCAGCCGAGTGACGGAAACACCCACTAGAGACAGTCCTGGCGACCACTCCGCACCCAGCTCCTTTGGAAGACCCGACTGAACAAGGCTATTTTACCAACGTCGCCGTAATAAAACCGATTTAAAATATCTACATATGTTTTTGAACGGATGAAGAAACTGAGGCTCTGAGAAGTTTAAGTGGCTTGTCCACGTCCCCAGGCTGGGACTGGGAGGACTGGCTCATATTCCAAGGGACCACAGACCCTGCTCTGAGCTCACGCGCTCTCGCTTTCCAGGGTTTCTTCCCCAAAGCAGGGACGGCATTCAGACTCGGCCTGGCTGTCACTGCTCCTTCCTGCAAAGTCGCCTTTCGCCTCCTAAAGTCCTGACTCAGAGCCCCCTTCCCCTGGAAGCTCCCAGGCCCCTCCTGCTGCAGGCTCTCTCTGCCCCTCCCCCGTCCTCCCAGCCTCCCTGGGCTGCAGCACACAGGGGGCTCCAGGCGATGAGCCTCTGAGGACAGAGAGCTGTGCTCTGTGGCCCGGAGACGCCGGGGACTAGGACAGTTTCCTGCCCGGGCCAGGGGCGCCCTATCCACTTGTGGGCGAAGCCGGGTGTCCGGAGTAGCTAGTCGTCTGCCCTCTTCAGTTCCAAGACACAGACGTCTCCCCTCCACGGGAGGGACAGTGCAGTCTGTGACCTGAGTTTTCATGCAAAAATCAAGAGCAGAATGTGCTTACATAAAACCCCCACCTTGAGCCCCTGCAAGTGCCAACACGGTAGAGCCACCAGACCTGACACGACACCGCAGCCTGGGGTGGGGGAGGGGCGCCTCGGAATCCGGCGTGGGGTGCGGCTGATCAATCCCCAAGTCCAGAGGAGGAAGGGCTGGGAGGAAGGGCTGGTCGAGGCCAGCAGGCAAATGCACTGTGGAAGGCACTCGGCCACCGGCATCACTTCACGGCTGCTGGTCTCCGGGCCCCTCAGTCGGGAGCCGTCCATCAGACTTTGTTCCTCGACTTCACGGCTACCAGGAGGCCCTGTCCCCCAGGCCCCCTGAAGCTGTGTTCTGGGACGGGCCCAAGGACCTGAGTTATCTAACGGTCTCCGCAGGTGGCCCCGAAACTCGACCGGATGCCGCCTGCACACAGCACGCGGTTCTGAAGCTCCACGCGCAAACGGGCCGTTCGGAGGGAACCGCAACCTACGGAACCGGAACCGGGCTGGGGAGCCCGCCGGAGGCCGACTCCCACAGTGACTGGCAGTCGGTCACTCCCTGCCGCCCATAAATGTTAAAAATAGTAAAAGGGAAAAATAAGCTCAAGCTTGATTTTCCAAATCCATTTTTATACCAGTGACCATCAGAGGATCAAGGGAAGAAAATACTGATCCGAAGCAAGTATTTGAGCCCCAAATTCCAAAAGGGGCCACACGGACATCAAAGGAGAGGAGGGACCTCGTCACTCATTGGTGACCCTGGAGGAAAGCGCTTACAAAGAGCTGAACCTCGCAGGAAGAAGCGGTGTCGGGGGAGGGGCACCAAGATTTCTGGGGCTGGGGGACTGAGGTGTGAGCCCGGGTGGCGGGAAGGGCGGTGGCACCTCGGAAAGAGGGCGGGGCCCCAGGGAACCGGTAAGGCCCACAGTGTGGCTGACAGGGCGTCTGGACAGGAGCTGCGGGCACACGGTCAGGAGGGGCTCAGGAAAGTCGCCCGCCTCGGGCGCAGTCAGCAGCCCTGGTCTTGGAGTCCCCGAGTGTTCCCGCCTGTGAAACCTTGGGGTGCCCCCGCCTCTCTGGGGCTCAGAGCTGTCGCCTCCACAAACGGCGATAACGACAGAGCTCACTGTCGGAGCTGTGTGGGGACGTAGGGGTGCAGGATGGACGGACAGCGCTTAGCACGGCGCTGCGGACGCCCGCAGAACTGGCCATCGCCCCTAGGACTCCTGGAGCTGTTACTGCTGGGAAATGGAAAGGGGGGCAAGAGCCTGCCGTGAGGGGTGAGAAAGCCAGCGGGCGGCCAAGGACACAAGGGCCACGCAGGGAGGCACAGGCGGCAGAAGGCCACTCTGCCAAGAGCCACAGAGGACAAACTGTGAAGGGAGGGTCCTCGGCGCAGAGAGCTCAGGAAAAGGGCGAAGAAGCACTCGCCGGGTCTGGTCACCGGGCACGTACGGATGACTCCTTCCTATCAGGCGACTTTAGAGAATGAAATTCTCGCACAGCGAGGTCTCGCTGAGATAGGATCCTACATCTGAAATTCCACGCTCCTTGACTGGAGTAAGGGGCATGGGAGGCCGGGAATGGTCACTCTGCACAAACTCCAGATGACAAGACTCTCTAAATAATGGCTGTGGTTAACAGCAAGGTTCCGGCTGCTAGAGGGACACGGTTCCCGGAGAAGCTGTTGTTGGCCTTCCTTCCCCCCATTTATTTGAGACCACCCCTTGCCGAATCAGCAATGCCACCCCAGGGCCTAATTACGCCTCTCGACACAGACACAATATGGACCATTCCGGAGCCTTCCAGAGCCTTCCGGAGCTAGCCATCTCGACTCTCCAGTCTGCTGCTGCTCCTTTGGAGCTGTTTTGCCTCTCGCTTCCTCTTCTAGACAATAGGAGGGAGAAGATCATCGAATGAGTGCATTATGGGAGATATATATAGCGTTAACAGTTGGATAAAAACTGAAGAAAGCAGAAAAGAGCAAAAATCTGATTTACAAAACTCAGTGCAGCTTGTAACTTTCAAATGTACACAGTGATTTAAAGCAGAAAAGGTTCTGCTCCAAAGAGAGATAAGCATCAGAGAAGTCTCGGCTTATGTGACAAACAAGTCCCCTCTGACAATAGAACTTTTGTGCAGCTAAAAAGCACTTCTTTGGGTCTGTAAATATGAATCTTAAGTTTTATCCCATATACTTAGCACTTCCCCTTCTATACGAAGGAAGAGGAAATTACAATAAATTGTGAATTAACATGGGATTTGGTGTTCATGATTCCAACCGCCCCTGGAAAAGCCGAGTAAAATGATAACATTCTTATCCAGGAAAATCAGTTTTTCAGCTGACGTTATGACGTCTTAAATCCTGCCACACAAGAAATGAGGTGCTCTTACCCCAAGGTGCTAATAAATCCATTTGTCGATCCCTCCGCGTACAGAGAACAAATGTCTCCAATATGTAGGAAACTAGACATCTTGTCAGACATGTCTTTCTCGAAAATCCTAGACAAAGTAAAACATGCAACATTATTAGAAGGAAAGAAATGCTCAGGAAGAAAAAAAAAAAGTCCCTGAGAGTTGGCTTCGCTTAGCTCGCTTTTCCAAAGCACCCCACTTAAAAGCCAAATTTAAATGAGAGTGTGACAGGCAGGCAATTAAGTGAGCCAAGCGAGGCCACATGCAACCACATTTCCCCCATACATTATTGAATTTCAGGATATTCCAAGCACAATAACACTTGTTTCTAACACAGCCACGCCCAAATCCGATTCTGCAAGCTGAGGACCCTCCACGTTAAACTGTGACTAGAACTTGGCTGCAGGGAAGTCGGCCAAGAACTTGGCAGCGATGACGGAGTTGGGAAGTCTGACCCATGGAACACTAACATTCTCGATCTGCCTCGGGAACGAGAAGTCTGAAGGAAACACCTGTAAAACTTGGGTCTGGTGGAGCCAGGGCTGAGGTGCTAAAGCAACAAAGTGAACTTAATAAAAGGAAACCTAGTAACAAACACCACAAGCCCAGACAAACAGCCTTTTAAGAATTCCACAACCGGACAGTCTTTCCCAAACACTATTTCAAAACAAAGTCTTGCTTTCTCATCCTTTACCTAGAAACACTTGCAGAGAGAGAAAAGACCCTTCCCCTCGTCCAAACCCTTCCCAACGCAGGTAAGGATAATAAGGCTGAAGTCGATTAAGAAGCCAGGTCAGGAGGGCACACAGCTGGTTAGGGGCAGTAATAAAGGCTGGTAAGTTCCAGATCTCTACACAGCCCAGAAATCATTACACTTTCACACGCACGCGCACGCACACACACACACACACACGCACACACACACACTCCCAACAAAAACATCGACCTGACTCCGAGAAACAGCTTTCATCAGGGCCATAAATACTGACGAGCAGGAGCCAATTACAAAAGGCTAAACAGACATTGAAAACGAGCCCAGTTCCATGGGGAGACAGGGTGCTCGTGTGGACTGCAGGTAACTCCCCATCTGCTGTGTAGATGCACCAGGTAACCCAGGTCTTCCCGAGACCTCATCTTCCCCGAAGCACCTCTTCCCATGTGGTCACTCAAGTTCCCCTGCCAGAAACCCTTCACCCCGCAAAGCCACGACAGCTGTAAGGGCGTGGAGAAGCCTGCTCTCCTGAAATTCTTTCTTGGTGCCCAGTTGTCTTCATGGAAGAGTTACGCAGCGAAGGCTCAGGGAGACCGGCCGAGAACCTCCGTGCAGCGCGTGTGAGACGCGGCCGGGAAGAAGGCCATTCGCCCCCACGCATCCCGGACACCGCGAGAGACACGGGGAGCATGGCGCTGAAGGTGGACGACGTGTAGAGCGGCAGCTCTGAGAACACGAACCCTCACCCCGCGGAGCCGGCCTCTGGGAACCCAGGGGAGACACGCACGACACGCACAGGGACACCTGCCAAGGCCCGCGCTCCCGATCCAGGCCTCGAGCCAGGTCGCCTCTTCCCGACGGGACGTCTCACACCGGAAGGCAAACCCGTGTTTCCAACAACATCCA